GAAGAGCTTACAAATCAACGCTAAGCAGAAAATTGATCATCTCACCAGCTCAGCTGAAATTCCATGAACAGGATTGGCAAGTTCATAGAATAGTGCAGGAGATGTTTTTCAAATATCAAGTCTACATTCATGGACTGACCTAATTTTATTGGATCAGTTTTCTCCTGGGTTCTGGACCCTTCTGCTGTCTACTCCTCTGCAACAGGCTTATCCCATCTGTTTGAGTGCCACCATATTATGTTTAATACAGTTCTTACTTTGGAAGTAACTACCAGTGGCAGATAGGAGTCTGCTGTCAGTTCAACATCCAAGGTATGTGAAATATTAGGGGCAATGTCAGTTGTTTGGCTGGTTGGTTTGGGGGTTTTTGTTGTTGTTTTTGTTTGCTTGGGGTTTGGTTGTTTTTTTGTTTGGTTTGGTGTTGGTTTTTTTTTTTCAAAATACACAGTATTTTATATACATGTATTTTAGTGTGTGTCTTGGTAAAAGTCACCTGTACAGGACATCTGTCATCCCTTCAATACCTGCTGCTTGTTCTTTGCTCTTGGCAGATTTGTCCTGTGTTTATAAAGCACTATAAGGCTCTGTTTGATCTTTCCTCCTCTAGAAATGTTTTGGAATATTGCATGAGCTTCTGGAGAGAAGCTCAAGCTGTCTACTCAGGAGAGGGTTACAGCAAGCGCATATCTGCAGATTTCAAGCCTCATATTTGCTTAATAAATATGCTTCTATGAAATGTATTCCTGCTTTCAGAAAATGTGTCCCGAACCTCTATAGTCACTTAATTTTACAAAATCAAAGTCTTTTCTCTCCTTTTTCTCTGCTAGGTGCTATCACAATATCATCATGAACTTTTCTTCTCCTTTTTGTTGCTCCTTTAGTTTCCACAGCAGAGGTCCTGTACACATTGTAACCAAAGATTAAAATATAGAAAGCTATATCCCTGCCAAAGCAAAGAACTTATTTAGCAGCTTACATCATCATCTTGTAAAAACTCTTTCTGGACAGCACTTCTTTTAAAAAGGTCCATAAACTTAGCTTACACGTACAAGATGAAACAACTTCAAAGAGAAGCAGCCAAACACCTTCATGCAAATCCATGACACACAGCATTTAGGTAAGATCTTCTTGAGAAAGAGTATTGTGTGTTTACTCTCTGCTTTTCAATACAATTACATGTATGACTCAAAGCAGAGATTTTTATCATTAATTCTCAATCCTCTCCCTATGGTGACATCTCTCAGTTGTTAGATCCGTGCTTTCACATGGGATAAATTATTTCTTTGCAAGAAGTCTGTCCAACTGGATTTTATCCAGTTGAAGTCTTGCTTAGATGTGCTTACGTGCGCAAACCACTCAACAACAAGAACACTAAGTCTGCACTTGGAAGAGCTGAGAAAACTTTTAGGTGAGGCTCTTTGCAATAGGAACTCCAATGCACCAGCAATGTGGCTAGAGCAAAAGAATCTAACATCTCCATTTTGTTACAGCTTTTGAGTGAAACATTCACACGGTGCTTCTGTTTTGTCCAAGTTATTTTCTTCTATGATACCTTCATTCTATGCAAAACAATGCCGCAAGAAGTATTTGTGTATTGTATTGCTATGAATCAGAAATGACTCAAGACACGAAGAGAATTAAAGGGTCAGTGGCAAATCATGTGAGCGTCAACAGTGTCAAAGCAAGAAAAACATGTCTTGCAAGTGGGTCAGATGAAGCCCTGCAAAGAAGGTTTGATTGAGCATCTTCTCTAAAGTAAATTTACCTTCAGCGGTTCTTTGAACAACATCCAGTTTTAAAAAGCCTTTAATCTTGGCATAGAGAAGAAAAGCATTTGGAAAGCCTGGTGAGCAACCATTTACAAGAAGTTTTCAATCATTTAAAAGAATTGGTTCAGATGTTGCGAAATACGTGCGTCAGCTTATATCGTTAATAGAAGATGCAAACAATTGTCTTGATTTTGCTTGTACGCCAGTGTATATGTCTTTTACTTGAGTCTAATGGTATTTTTCTTACTTTAAAGCTGGTAGGTGAAATAGCAAAGGGCAAATAAGACAGGTTTTGTAGGTGGAAAAGAATGTTGTCTATGGACAAACATAAGGGTAGGCAGTTACTGGGCAAACACTCTGTCAGGGTCCTGGGTAGGCAAGGTGATGTTTGGAGAACCGATTCTATGTTATCAGCTATGTTTAAGCAAAATCTCATCTTAGCATCAACTTATTTTAGCTGAAACAGCTTATGATTCAGTTGAATCACCCACTTCTTATGCTGAGTTAGTGAAACAGAATAGAAACAGGAAGTGGGGTTATTGCCATGCTGCATTTCACATAACTCCCTTTTAAACATCTACCAGAAGAATATATTCCATCCCCACTGCCCTTTGCATTATAGAAACATTAATATGATTTTCTCTTACCCATTAGCCATGACAGGAATAAGTTTTTCTCTCAGTGAATACACTGATCAGGGATAAGGCAACTGGAAGCTCAGAAATCCTCCTGGTAGTTCAAAGCATAGAGCTGTCTCCCTTTTATACTCTGCCTGCTAGCTGAGGGCTGTCACTCAGGCTGACAGGCAGCTCAGGAATGGGAGGGAGAGGCAGGAGGTGCCAAACCCCACAGTAAGACATAGAGTGTAAGGACAAACCCACATCACATGCCTCTCTTGGTGCAGGCATGCTCAAACCAGGAAGTCGGAGCCACCTCTACCACGCTCCTGCTTCGCCTTATCGCTGCAGGCAACCAGTATGGTAAGGAAAACAGAAGGTAATGGCAGAGAGACACATGGTGACCACCACCTTCTCCACCCGGGTTTTCAGTTACAGTTTTGAGAACTTCAAACATGAGTCACAGCATTGCACCTGGAGTTATGCTGGATTATTTGTTAACAGATTTTTAGGTGGCTACAACAGTTATGAGCCTGGAAACAAGCACTGCAAGTCTGAAAGCCTTGACTGAGATGGACAAGGCCATTCTTGACTTGCTGTTCTATATGCAGTTATTATTTGACAATAGAAGGGAAGATGGTAACAAATCAGTGGTCAAAAAAGTTATAGGTGGGGAAGAAAAAATAAACCGTCTATGCTTGTCTGTTTACAGCTTAAATTGCTAGTTGCAACTTTGTAAATATTAGGAGGCATTACAATCAGGAAATACTGTACAAAGGCAGCACTTTGCATGCACCACTGGAAGCTGCCAGCGAGGCAGGTGCTGGCAAGCGCAGGTACTCACTGCAGTGCCTGTCCTGGGAAGCACGCATTCACCATGTGGCTAAACTAACCCTCAGGTGGTGGAAAGCTTGTTTTTGTTCTGTAATTTTAAAATTTTCCTCTTCATAACTATTAATTTCAGAAAACCATAGCTTTAGGTTTGAACTGTATATATGCATAAACCAAAATGGTTTGTTGTTAGGCCACCAGTTATAGGAATGGTTCTGTACTTCTGGTCCATGTAGCCTTCAAAGAATCATTAGAGCCAAACAAAGCTCTCAGTAATGAAGATGCCTGACACATGGAATTGTATGGGGGACAAGACATGCAGCTGGCTCACTTAAAACACTTAAAAGTGAAGTTTCCTTCTGACACTGGTAGGGGAAATTAATGTATCTCAAAACTGAATATCCTTAATTTTAACTGGAATTTTCTTTACCTTTTGTTGTTAGTATTTTTGCAGTTCTGGGTAAGCAAGGGCAGAAAGTGCAGTTCCTGAATGCAGGAGTTATTTCTCTAGGCTTTAATTTAAAATACAAAAGCAGTGGGCATATTGTATCTATAAGAAAGTTGCAACTCCTTTATTCACACCAGCAGAAAGAGCCCTGATGGGAGCCCAGGGAATTTCCATTTACAAACAGCAGCATCACCGGAGTCAGCAATTTTCAGGTACTCTTTGATAAAATTACAGGTCAGATCAGTAGCATCGCTAGTGATTTCATAACCGTGTACTTAAATCTCTTGTAAAAACTTCCAAGCTATGATTTAGATGTTGAGCTAAGAAAAACTTAAGGATCCCAAAGAGTGTCAAAGGGTGTGTTTGCCAACAGAAATTAAGTGCTGATCAATGGCAAACGAGATTGGTGCAGAATCTGGGTCATTCCTGGGTCTAACACAGGCAGTGAGAAAACCTGAGTATCCAGAGAGCGACCTTGCTAACACCGTGGGTTGCCTCTCTCTACTGAGAAGATCAAGCAATGCTTTGTCAAACCGAGGACACTGTTTGTTTGCTGTGTAGGAGCTGAGGTCAGGCTTTGCCTGCTTTCTGTTCTTCTTGTCTGGCACAAGGGAACGAGGAGAGTATTCGGCGCTGTCTCACTCACATGTGAACAGCATTTCCAAAGGAATAGGGCAATATACTAGTGGAAGATGCTCTGCCTAACAAAATTGCCACCTCAAGCATCTGATGCTGACCTATGCCAAGGTAGAGGATCATGGAAACCCTGTGAATAAGACCTGTTTCTAAAGCATGTAGGCATCTATGTGCTTTTCTGGCCTAAGTATTGTGCTTTGCCAACCAAGGTAGCTGATGGGTAAGTCCTGGTTTTTTCACCTCTAGTCAGGTGCCTAAACTTCCCTGAATAGGGAAAGGGCTCATTCGGACTTAATTTAAACACCTTTGGTGGGTCTAGAGAGGGTGAGTGAGAACACTGTGCTTTGCAGGCTTCCAGACCAAAGCAGTCAGGAGGGCTCACACATGCACGAAGGGCTGGACAGGCTCACTCAGGGAGACAGAAAAAGCTGGCAGCTACAACAAATACCATGCAGAGTTATAGCAGGCTCAGTCCTTTCCCCAGAGAAGCCTGAACAGGCCTTTGGGTCATGTTTTATGCTTGGATATAGGGAAAAGGAAAGTTCCTGAGACACTTGATTATGCTAGACATTCCTGTGGGAGCTTTGGCTATTGCCACTAAGTCTCCAAAAGCTGACCAACACTGAAAAGCAGTGCAAACACGGCCTGGGCTGGTCAGTGGGAACTGAGCCAGGTCAGAGCTCACTGAGAGCACGGACCTGGGAATTCGAGGTCTCCACCCTTCCCTAAGTATTAACTCTCAAGCTGGAGCCTCATTTGACAGACTGTCTCCCACCAAGCTCCATGCTCCTTGTGGCCAGCCTGTCTCTTGGTTAACTCCCCAGTTTCCTAAGCCTCAGCCTCAATCCTAAAGTGCTTCTCCCTGGGCAGGAGTGTTATAATCCCTTCATTTACTCAGGAGTTTCTGGTGCAGCAGCTGTCCTCAAAGAGAAAAATAAGAGGATTACATAGCCAGGCATGTTTTTGTCATAGAAATGTCAGGACAAATAAAACTCCATTCCTGCAGCTAGACTGTGCAGTGATTTGACTTGCTTACCTTTAGGTTAGTTGGTTAACCTTCCCTTATTTATCAGTGCTAATTCCAAGGTTTCACAGGTAAACCATTGCTGACTTATGAATGTTCCCACAGCCAGACAAGCTGCCTGCACAGTCAGCAAAGCCATAGGCTGGGAGAAAGCAAATGCCTGGGGATGCAGGTGACTCAGTGCCCCTGTGTTAGCAAAGGGGCTAAGGCAGGACATTTTTTATTGGTTTTTTTTTTAAATCTTAATGTAAGCACGGTGAAGCATACACCTTCCTTAATTTTGTAAGGAGAAATTGTCTAGGAATCATTGAGGCCTCTCTACTGCAAGTTAAGACATCTTAATTACAGAGCATTTCACATGTAGCGCATTTGCTTATTAATCAGTAATTTGTACACATTGATGTAAAACAGAATTTTAGGCAGTCTGGCTGAAACATCCTGTCTGGTTGCACAGCTCAGTTCTCGTGTTTTTTGATAAGCATCGCCATTAATCACAGAATCGCAGAAACGTTAGGGTTGGAAGGGGTCTCTGGGGATCATCCAGTCCAACCCCCTGCCAAGGCAGGGCCACCCAGGGCAGGTTACACAGGAATGCACCCAGGCAGGTTTTGAATGTCTCCAGAGAGGGAGACTCCACAACCCCCTGAGCAGCCTGTTCCAGAGCTCTGCCACCCTCAGTGTAGAGTTCTCCCTCATGTTGAGGTGAAACTTCTTGTGTTTCAGTTTATGGCCATTGCTCCTTGTCCTGTCGCTGGGCACCACTGAAAAGAGTCTGGCATCATCTCTATAAAGATACTGATCTGCATTAATGAGATCTCCTCTCAGTCTTTTCTCTAGACTAAACAGGCCCAGCTCCTGCAATCTCTCCTCATAAGAGATGCTCCAGACCCCTGAGCATCCTTGTGGTCCCCCACTGGACCCTCTCCAGTAGCACCTTGTCTTTCTTGTACTGAGGAGCCCAGCTCTGGACACAGCACTCCAGATGTGAGCTCACCAGGGTCAGTAGAGGGGGAGGCTCAGCTCCCTTGACCTGCTGCCACACTCCCCCCAGCGCACCCCAGAATACTATTGGTCCTCCTGGCCACAAGGGCAATTAATAAATCAGGCTGTTGGCTATCACCGGCCTAGATGAGACGGTAGATTCGCAGAAGAATTTGGAATTGCCATTGCTAGTGCAGAGCATCCTGGCACCCAGGGCACCTTTCTCCTTACTCTGTGTTGTATGCAGCTGCTGGCTCCGAAGCAGTACAAGGCTTGAGAAGTTTATTTGATATAATGGTGAATTGTGGTGCTGACATATCCTCTTTTTTTACCTCGACAAAACAGCAGGGACTTCGATTGCTGGTTAGAAAAGGAATGTACTGTAATTTTATTACCCTTCTTTTCCCCATCGTTATTTATGCAGTTAATAAAGGGCAAAAGGGCGTTACGCATGTGGAGTGGTAACACAGTAGGGGCAGGTGGCACTAAAAAACCACGCTCCTGCGTGCCCCCACAGCATGGGAAACCGGGACTACAGCATTTCACGTTCCGCGTCCTTTCCACGCCTCCCGCAGCGATTCGTTCGGGCAGCCGCGT